ACAGCCAAGGCACACAGAATGTATCTGCGCTGGATATCACCAGGTGTTCTGACGAGTTGAGCTACCTATCGAGACGTACTATTGAGCCTTTTTGCGCATGTGCAGTTCCACCGTTTGGGGGTTAGGGTTAGGTTTTAGGGGTTTGGGTTAGGGTTAGGGTTTTTGGGGGAGTTAGGGTTAGGGTACGGGTTATGGTTAGGGCTATTGATTAGCACTGCGGTAGCCTAACTCGACAAAGTAGCTCAACTCGACAGAACACCTGCACACCACGCACCTTGTAGGCGGAGCCTGCATGTCCGTTATAGCCGAACAAAACTACAGCTAAAAGCGGCCCTGGGGACCACATTGTTTGTCCGTTATAAGCGAAATTCCATTATATGCGAGTCCGCTATATCCGATGTTGTTATTAAAGGTACACGGCCGGGATCAGCGGACCTTGTCCGTTATAGACGATATTCCGTTATAAGCGAGTCCACTATAACGGGATTTTACTGTAACACATTAACAGAAGAATGAAAACACACAGGCTTGCATGCTTAACATGCAACCCTTAACATGCAACCCTAACCCTAACATGCTTTATAAAATAACTGAAAATTCAAGCCTTCACAATAGCAAAACACGCTAAGAAAACAACTTCAACTTGCAATAAAAATTAAATAGAATTCTAAACTCACCAGCAGGTAGCCTCTAAAAAAATTAATAAATCAGGTGATTTTCCTTCCATAATTTTTTTATTTCACAGCAAAGTAATTCTATTCTGAGTTGCCCTCATATTTCTCATAGCGTACATAACGCTAGTACTTTTATTGTACTTCAACGCTGACTTGCAGATTGTGCAGGTCACTGTACTGTTTGTGTGGTCTAGAATTAAGTATTTCCATAACATGTGATGTGTGTCTGTCACCTACTGCTGCTATGTCTCTCATCTTGTTGCGGTCTAGTGTTTAAAGTCCCCTCCACGCGCCAACGTTACCACCCTTTTTATGAAGTGACTTGGTTAATTGGTTAAGTCAAGGAACGCATGTCAGCATAAGCCAATCAGAGGCAGAGATTGCATTGCCTACACAAGCACGCCCAGAGAGAGGAAAAAGACACGACTTGTCGACTTCTCTCAGCGGTTGTCAACTTCTGCTTCTGACGTCGACACGTCGACAAATCGGCTTTTCTGTTAATGCCCTAGTAGCCACAGTCTTAATCTTCTGCTGTGTGATGCAGCCTCTTTAAATAAAGTGTGTTTGACATTCTTTGGCACACTACTAAGACACAACATTCTCATCCTCTGGAAAGAGGTGGAATGTCTTACAAGAGTTTGTGGACATAACCCTCAAGCCAATGAGGTGGGAATCTTATTGAAAATCTCACGCCAGCCAACTGACCAAAGTTGGCAACACTGATTTATCGAATATTGTTACAAAATACCCTCCATACAATATACCTGTCCAGGATCTTGGGTGATCATCTGATTGGAAAACTCCCGTGTCCCAGGCACCAGGGAAATTACATCGCCCCCCGCTCGGTGCCCCTTATTTCTTCAGATTCAGTGTTGCCAACTTTGGTCAGCTGGGTGGCGTGAGATTTTCAGTTCGAGACTAGTCTGCACACACATTCACACCAATGTACATGTATCTAACAGTTTTATTACCTTGTAAATAGTTCATAGGATTCGCAAACTACCCCAACACTTTTGACATAGCTAATTTTATGTATATGTAACCCCAACCAGGGGGGAGAGGGGACACTAAAAATGCCTCAACACAGGTGTGCTCACCAAATGAACAATGAAATGGAGACTGTGCACAAAATATAACTCACTTTAATAAATTAAATCAAAACAGAGGCTTACGCCCACATAGAATACACCAATACAACTCAAGAATACAATTAAATCGAAATGAAACCCCAAATCAATAAAAAAAGGAAAAGAAACAACCCATCCACCCCCATACAGGTAGCAATACACAATTCAAACAAGGTCGAGAAGGTCAGTGACCAGGACTACCCCCCCAGAGGTAGGAATAACCAGGCCTACACCAGCCTAGCTGACTATTAATGGAGTTGTTGCACACACAAAAATCCACGGCACTGCAAACGATCCCAAAGGCCTGAGCACTGCACACCCACGCCACAACACAGTCCCCTCTGAGGTCAACCCTGGCATCAGAATCCCCACCCATAGAAAGAGAAACAAACTAAAGAAAATATAAATAAAACACCATACTAAATCACAAACAATATACATGGAGGTGGTCTTACAGCTTAGTATCCTTCACCTATCCGTATTACGTACAAGACAAACAATTTTACTAAGCAATTCAGGGGGGAAACCCTGAACCGCTCACAGGCTTAACAGGCCTCCCGGTCAGAGTGACCAGAATGCAATAAAATACGCATGGGGAATAACAGTGGTTACATAAGCCTCCTTAGCCGCGTTACACAGCCAAATGGACCCAACGTGGCGGCTTGTAGCCTGTACGAAAACATCACCCGTCCCAGACAACGGCACTTAGAACATGGTGGCTTCTCTTCAGGTACCCCTTCCAAACCGGGAGGCTGCTTGTCTATTAATGGCCAGTCAATCTTCCGCATATACTACTGTTTCTGTGCCGCCGACAAATTTATTTGTGTGTATGTTAAAACAGGGTGAACATTACAAGGAAATGTTACATTATGATAAACAGGAAAACAAGTCTGTCAGCATTGGAAGATTAGATGAATTAAAATAAAATTAAGAATTAAAAAGTCATAAATAAGGAAATGTCTGTGTCTGTGTAAATATCCAGTACATGTTACTAATATTAATATTTTACTAATATTACAGGTATCTATTGCTAAGGAATCTTCGCTTGTTTACAGGATCGTGTTTTGTATTCATCGCAATAATAAGTTTCAGGGATCATTAGGGTCAAGCAATTTTACTCTTCCTTTGCATGTATCTGGTACCTTTTTGGTAGCACCTGCTGTTGGGTACATATGACTAATGCATTTGTTCCACAGAACACGAGACTGTTTTGAATCAACAGTAAAAAAAAAAATACAGAATCCCAAAAAGTATATGGA